TCATAAAAAATTCACAATGTTATTACCAAATCGTTATTATAACAAGGTAACGATCAACAAAGTAACAGCGTTACAAGTGCAATGTATTTTATATATATATATATATATAAAACACATTACTTGCCAACCCTGCATATGGTCTATACCAAAGACATAGAGAATGGACTACGTGATCTCTATCTAAGTAGTATTCAAATGTGGTCAACAATAATGAGAGAGAAGGACCGTGGAAGATGGTCAATCTTTCTCTTATTTTCTCTCCCACTTAGGCCCGTTTCTACCAACATAAATTAACTTTAATTTTGGTTCAACTTACTCTTTATCTTTTTCTAATTTCTAGAAGTAGAAAGAGATGAAGAGTTAGTTGAACCAAGATTAAAGTTAATCTACGTTGGTAGAAACGAGCCTTACACTGGCTGCGTTCAGCAGACTCAACAGTTTTGCAACCGTTTTATGATTGTCTGCTGAGATAGGACCATTCTTCTAGATCTAAAAGTATGATCCAATTAGCGCGAAGGAAACTTCCAACAGTTGCAAAATAAACGTTCTGCTGAACGCAGCCATTGTTAAATGAAAAGAGATAGAGATGGTCGTGTTTCTCTTACTTTTGTCGACCATTTTGACACACGGTTCGCGCAGTCCATTCTCTAAGTCTTTGGTCTATACATATGGCCTTTATAGGATTCCTATTTTTTAATTTTGGTTGAAATTGACATGTAGCCGAGTGTTTCGGTTCAGTTTCGGCAAAAGTTTTGGTCGGATTCTACAATCTAGTCGTTCCGAAGTGCAGAATTATTAATTAAGTAGGCGTATAAATAGACATAAAAAATGTAAACTTCCTTTTCTTATTTTTTAAAAAATAATATTTCTTATACTTCGATATCTTAACAGATATTCGAATAAGAAAATAAAGTTTAAGATTCCACAATCGCTTGTTGCTCCTTTCATTAGTAATTGTCAGCATTCCCGTATATATTGCTATCGGAAGATATGTTATTAACTAGCCCAAGTAGCACAGCAGCGCTTATGAAGCACTAAAAATAAAGCATATAATAGCTATTTTTATCACTGTTGGGAGGTCTGATGAAAATAAATATATAAATGATGGCGCTGATAGTACAGATACAGTCTTAGTCATTAAGATTTGGCATGTGTGCAGTATTTTAAAGAATCTTACATAAAAATCCAGAAGAAGGATTGTTTAAATGAATTCCTTACATCTAGCAGATGGTAAGTAATATGATCAATCAAGTCTATACTGTGAAAGGAAATAGCTTTACAAAAGGTAAATGCTTACAGAAATTCAGTAGTGCGTCAGCAGAATGTCTATAATATGTATATCGCACAGTGTCGTCGATGGGGAGACCATATTATATCAATTCTTCTCTGAGAAAACTTTTTATTTTAGGTTCCGAGAAACCAGCGGAAGTGAAAGGTCGAGCGCGATTATACAGCATGGTGTTTTGCCCTTTCGTTATGAGAATACACCATGTGCTTAGTCTGAAGCAGATTCCATATGATATTGTCAATATCAATTTACAGAAAAAGCCGCAGTGGTTTCTCCAAGTACGCATTGAGTCATTTTTAAAGCAATAACTTAACGTTGTCAAACTCGAAAGAGTTTTGGATACGGATTTTATTACTTGCGTGTACGGAAATATTTTTTTTAGCTTAATCCAGTTGGCAAGGTACCGGTTTATATAGATTCGGACGGTACAGTAGTAACGGAATCTGTCACAGTGGCGAACTATCTGGACGAGAAATATCCTGAGCCTCCTCTATACAATGATGAAACAAAAAGTCGTGATTTGGAATTGATAGATCATTTATCCAAGGTGCTCATAACGATGTCGAGATCTCCTCCTTCTCCTCCCTTCTTGGAAATGATCCTTTAATAATTGTATCATGTTTTTTTACAGATTATAGATATTATTACGAATGTCGTATATGAGAAGGATAAGAGAGAGTTCGAAGAGATTCTCATCGAGATAATGGATAACTTACAAAAATACGAAAATGAGTTTGATATACGCAAGATGACCTTTTTCGGAGGTTTGTAAAAATCTACTCTATTTCCTATTTCTTTTCTACTTTTCTCTTTTTCATCCTTTCTTCTAATATTATTAAAAAATTATTTTTTCGATCGTTCTTAACTGAAACAAGTACATTTATTGTGTCATAAAATTATATCTTTTGTTTTAGGGAGCAATCCGGGTATGTTAGATATTCTAATGTGGCCTTGGTTTGATATTGGAATGGCTCTGACTCTACTTCACAAACAGCATGCTAGTGTTGAGAGACACAAGAAGAGATTTCCTCATATGGTAAGTAAACAATAAAGAATGTGTAATAACAGCATTTTTTAAATTAATCAATTCTTCAAAATTTTGAAATTTTAAGACTTATTTACATGTATGTATAGCAATATTTCCTCAAAACCCATTTCAATGCAACTTTGTATACATATTTATAAAATTGTAATTATTTAATATATATATATATATATATGTGTGTAAGTATTTTATACTGATTCATTTCATTATTCTGTTCATAAAAGTATGAAGGTACGATTATCAAAAAATTAATAGTTTACGAATTGTTTAACATTTTATGTCAATATGTGTCACAATAAGGTATAAAATATCTCGTAAAAAGTACTGTTTTTTTATATCTCTATCTTAATACTTTTATATGCAGAATAATTAGAGGAATTATATTATGTAAAAAAATTATATAATTCCATTAAAAAAAAAGGAGCTTCATATCTTTTTGATGCCTCCATCTAGAAGAAAAATAACATGACCAAACATCCCCTTGAAACCGTTCCACTTTCATCTGAAACATTTTTTCCTATCTCCAAAACTGTGGATGTTATTCGGGTGGCCGGTCTTAAGTGACTCACCCTGTTATTTATAAACAATTATACACAACGCTCAGTAATTTGCACAGCAAATATAAGTAATTACGACCAATAAATGAGCAAATAGGATCTTTAGATATGCTATACAGTATATTTCTTAACAATACATCAAATACAAATACGTTTCGACTCACAGAGTTTTCTTCAGTATGAAAAAACAATTATAAGATACAATAAGATAGAAGATTTTATCATTCACATTCAAAAAAATTAATAATTTATTAATCACCATCCATTTTCTTTCAGATGAAATGGGTAGAAGGAATGAAAATCCAGCCGTTTGTTCTAAAATACAGAAGCTCGTATACAAAATTAGCAAAATTCTTAGAAGCTCTAAGAGCGAAAAATGTTGATTACGATAATATTTAAACGTGTTTTGAAGTTATTATCTTGTTTCTATAAATAAGTTTATATCAAAAGAGGTCGACAGCATTTTTCTTTTATTTAGCTCTTATATATTCTTATATTCAATAGAATGAAATACAAATATAATAGATGAATATATTTTTTTATATTAAATGTAATTTTAACTATAAATAAACCACACAATCTTCAGTACACTTTATTGTGCTGTTTCGTAAAATATATATTAGGCGCTTTATCATTCGAGATATTTGCATTTCATTTTTATACTTAGAGTAATATATACAATGGTTTTAAAATCCGTATTAAACTAGAGAATGAGACTGGATTGGAATTCAACCAACTAGAAGAAATAAAATAAAATAAAATAAACTTATTTAAAATGTCGATAGCTATTTTTTAGGTCTTTCAGTTCATATATTTTAATTTTTTACGAAAAATGGATTGTAATGCCTCGAATACGTACCCGAATAAGGAAATAAAATTTATTGTCTAATAATCGCATTGTCCCTTTTATTGATAATCACCGACATCCTTGTATACACCTGTGTGCGTGGGCGTGGGAGATGGCGCCAGGCGAAGCGCTATCGTCCAATAAAACTTTCAACACTTGTCATTCCCTGTCATTGAGGATAAGCATCCACGCCGCAGTCGCACTTTAACGATCCACATAGAAGTCCACATCGTTCATCTGTGGACGGATTGTTCAAATGAGTTTCTCACATCTAGCAGATGGTAAGTAATATGACAGTCGAGTTTATACCGAGAGGAGATTCCTTTACAAAAGGTATATGTTTACAGAAAGCTGGTAGTGTAGGACCAAAGTACCTGTCATGTATTATATATCGTTTAGTGTCATAGTTAGAGACTCACATTATGTTGAATTTTTCTGAAGAGAAAACTGAACTTATGTTTTAGGCTCCGAGAAGCCAGCGGAAGTGGAAGGTCAGGCGCGTCTGTATAGCATGGTATATTGCCCCTTCGCTCATAGAATACGCCTTGTGCTGAGTCTGAAGCAGGTCCCACACGACATTGTCAATATCAACTTGCAGAGCAAGCCGCAGTGGTTTCTCGATGTATGTATCGAGTTACTGTCACTCAATGTTAGGAATAACTCAATGTTATCTGAATCTAAAGAATTTTTGAAAGATGATAAGTGTTGACAAGTTTGATTGTATTCTTGTTACTAACGTGTATAAGGAAATATTTTTTTAGATTCATCCGAATGGCAAGGTACCAATTTATATAGATTCGGATGGTACAATAATAACAGACTCTGTCGCAGTGGCAAACTACATAGATGAGAAGTGCCCTGAGCCTCCTCTATACAACGACGAGACAAAAAGTCGTGATTTAGAGTTGTTAGATCACTTCTCTAAGGTGTTTATAATGACATTGAGATCTGATTTTTTCCTGTTCTGGAAATAATATTTTAATAATTGCGTATTCTTTATAGATTATGGATACTTTTGCAAATTGCATATTTGGCAAAGACAAGAGACAGTTTGAAGAGATTATCACTGAGGTAACAGACGACTTACAAGAATTTGAAGACGAGCTTAATGTACGCAAAACAACTTTTTTCGGGGGTTTGTATAAATCCATTATACATTTTTTCTCTTTATATATCTTAATATTATTAATAAATCATAATTTATTGGTCACTTTTGGTTGAATAATAAGCACAATATTTATTGTTAAAAATTATATTTTTTGTTCTAGGGAGTAATCCAAATATGTTGGACGTTCTAATATGGCCTTGGTTTGAGCGCGCAAAGGCTCTGACTATACTTTACAAACAGCGTGCAAGTCTTGACAAGGAGAGATTCCCCCATATTGTAAGCAAGAAATAGTATTTCCAGTAACAGTATTTTCAAATTTGTCAACTCAGTTATGAAAATTTTGAAGATTTATTCATTTAGCAATTTTCTCAACACACTTATTTAAATTCATTAACACCCTATGTATATTTATAACAAAATGTTAAATATAATCTTTTTTTGTTTATATACAAAAATTGTATTTGGATTTGTAATGGATTATTTACTATTCGTATTAAAAAAAAATATTTATTGATTCATTGTGTCCATTTTGTTTCAGATGAAATGGGTAGATGGAATGAAAGATCAGCCATTTGTTCTAAAACACAAAGGCTCGTATGAAAAGTTTGCAAAATTCGTAGAAGCTGTAAGAACGGGAAATGTTGATTATGACAATCTTTAAATATATTTGCAATACTATAACAAAATGCTGCAAAGATGAATAACAAAATAGCTTGGCATAAATCAACATATTAACATCAGTATTAATATTAATAGTATGTGATCTTATTTGACAGATTTGATTCATATAATTTTTCTGTGTTGTATATGTTAAATTTTTTGTGTGATATTTCTTTATGTGATATTTTTTATGTGATATTTTTATATATGTTAACTTTTTATTTATTTTTATATGTTAAATTTAATACATATTTTTATTTTTTTAATATATTGTCCCATATAATTGCACTATTGTAATATAATATTTTAATCCTTCATTTATTTATAGCTGTGTAGTATAAAATAAGTCTATGGACGATATTCATAGTTATAGTTTTTATATTCAAGATCGTCTTAGGTTCTGTCTTGAGGTGTCACGAATCAATCAGAGGACCGTATTAGCGTCTTAAGACATTACTTAAGACGCTCTTGAAATAAGAACCGACTATGAATACCGGCCTATGTAACAAATGGCCTGTACTTTGACATTAAATATAAGCACTCTAACATTGAATGTATAATTAAGTGTAATATTTTGCATAATATTAAGCATAATTATTTGTCTGTATTTTAACAAGGCACTAATATGTAGCTATATATTATAATTGTTACAATTACTGTTATTATAAAGTGCAAAACATTTATATAATGTGTTAATCTCTTGCTATTAATTTTTTAGTAACACAAAATACTCGTTTTCTTATGTAATTCATTGATTTTTGTGATAATTTTTGTTTTCATAGTTTGTTTCTGTGTGATATCGTCTTAAAATTCCGAACGGTTAAAAAAAATATATTTATGTAATTTATATTTGAATACATAGAAGTAATACATAGAAGTAATATAAGAATCGAATTTTCTAAATTAAATAATAAATCCATTTTTTCCCCTTTCTTACTTAGGTATATTACTAAGTACTTATTTTATCAAGACTTACTGTCTTATTTAGGATAAAAATAAAATAAATAACGGACTCCAGAAACAAACAATAACAAATTAATGGCAATAACGCGGAAAACGGTGTGCAAATCAACAAAGTCGATATTTAATAAAAATTATTATGTTATATAAATTTGTTAAGGTAAAAAATTAAAAGATTGTGGAACGGATATCTCATCGATCAAACTTTTTCAGTTAAAACACGTTTAATAGATCTAGTACAAACTGTTTTAGTTTTTGCGACAAATACGAACAATTCAAGAGCGAGCGTATAACAATTCATCAGCATATACGACATATCTCCTCTCTGCAGTTTCGTTCAACCAAAGTAGAGTGCCTAAAGATATTTTCAATATACAAATTTATTTTTGCTATATCGATGGCATTACCAACAAAAATGAATTTGCTAGAAATTCGAAGATATTTGATATACATGTATCACAGATTTTATTCCTATCGTATATATGTTACTTCTATATATATTTTCCAGCACCATAACAACAATATGTAATATTTCGTTAATATTTTTTATTAACAGCATCGAGCAACGTACGTATTACCGTTAATAATTTATTGCATTACGTTTAGTTGCTTATTGTATGTAAATCCAATTTTTGTTGCTAACGTCATTATCATAGATCATCGATCTGTTTGTCTATGCGTTCCTTATTTTATTTATTATTACAATTCGTTATAATTTATTATAAATATAAATTGGTGTAGATCTTTACAATTCGTTGTAATTGCAGTATCTCGCAAGCCATCACTAGTCGTTTCAAATCGACACAATTGGCTACAATTTGTTATGTTATTAACAAATTTTTTCACAGCATTCACGGGCGGATAATGATTTTTTGAAATCTGAATTTAACCATTCTTTTATCAATTCTACAGGAACTACAAAAAACAAAAAGCTATGTATCACGCGTTTCCTTCTTATCCTATGTAACAACGTTAAAAAAGCGACGATCATCTTTGAATGAGATTTATATTCTAAAGCTTTTTAACAATTTTGAAAGTCCAAAAGTTAACCCATTAACAGTTAACATCCCACTTTTAAGATAAAATTTAAGCTCGCTAAATAATATAAATAATTTTTTATTTTAATTTTTTATTTTCTCAAAAATAATTTTTATTAATATAGTTGTGAATTAAATTAATAACAATATATTTCATTTTATTTTATTTTAGAATTTACTTGTACTATATTTTTACGTCTTCCAGAGCTTTAAAAAACGAACGAGTGCCAGAGCACACTTTACTTTCTTTTATCTTAAATCTAATTTATAAGGCAAGAATTCAAGAAGAGAATTTTTCACAAGTGTAAGATCAATAAAAATTATTTATTGATTCTAGAATTAAGCTGATACTTTTTTTAAAGAAAGAAAAATTGTGATTAAATTGTTTTGTATTGCAATTATGGCCTTTTATGAATTAAGTGTTATTATAGTCTAGTTTTCACGTAAAAGGGCAAATAGCTATCCCTGTAGCATTAATTCTTGCTGCGAACTATGATCCTGAAGTGATCTTACGATATTGTAATTGCGAAATAAAATAAAGCGAAGTATATATATAAGGACACCCTGCACGCAATCGATATATATTTCATATATCGATGAACGTGTTACTATCACCAAACAGTGCATTTATTCGGGGGATTCATTTTTGTTCCGAGCGGACAGCGAAACGCCTCTACGAATGCCTGAGAATTCATCATTACACTGTTGACTCTGGAAATCAATTGTCGTGCGTGTAATCAATCGTTATACTTTACTCTGACTGAGTAAATTTTTGCACAAATCAGAAAAAATAAGAAAGATATCCAATACCTTTCAGAATGAGAAGCATGATAGTCGAATTCA